TTTTGCACCGTTTGGATTTTTTCTGCACAGTGGGAGAGGCCCAGCTGGGGCGCAGGGTGTTAAGGGGTAATCGAATCCAAGAAATGCACAGAGCGGAGGTGGGAGAGAGGGCAGCATCTGGGCTCATCCTCACTTCCTTTTCTTTAATGTGATCACAGTCCCCCCTGCTACTATGGCTGTTCAGGCATGGAGAACACGGCTCAGGGGAAATATTCACAAAATAAGAAGGGAAATGAGCAGGGGAGTTAAGGGGCCCGATTCGTGCCATGCTGACCCTGAGCGGCTGGCTGTGCAGAATCCTGGCCGCTTCCTCCTCCCTGCTGGCTGCCTGCTGAGAGCTTTCTGCTCCAGATGAGCCTCTCAGGTACCTCCTGTTAGCACTTCAGGGGGCCTTGGAATTTCTCTTAAGCTGATTTGAAGAGACCCTGGGAAGTGCCCAGACATTGAGACCTGGAAACACATTTTGTAAACAGCCTAAAAATTCCTTGTGGAAATGGAAAACTTGGCTCTGACTGAACAAGTCATCAACCATTATTCTCCAAAGAGCCATTTCCTCTCTGTGAGCACCGCAGCCCATTTTGGAGACTTCGTGAATGTGGCCATGTTATAAATGGGCCTCCATCAGAAGGGCCACACGGCCATTGAAGACGGAAGCAGCAGACCAGGAAATGAGGGTGTCTGGCGAAGAGGAAAGTTCATTTCGCTCCGAGAAATTGTCTTCACTGCCTTTGAGGCTGCGATATTTTTAAATGGGCCGAGCAATTTCCAGACCCAAAGTGTGATTAGTAGCTTAATCATCAACAAAGATTGGGCTGATTTAACATTTGTCATTTTATATTTTTTTAAGATATTTTTATTGCCCTAACCAGTTTGGCTCTGTGGATAGAGCATCGGCCTGTGACTGAAGGGTCCCAGGTTCGATTCCGGTCAAGGGCATGTGCAGTCCCCCAGTAGGGAGTGTGCAGGAGGCGGATGATCAATGTTTGTCTCTCATTGATGTTTCTAACTCTCTATCCCTCTTCCTTCCTCTC